TAAAGTGATTCTAGATTTTGTCATGCATCTCTGAGAATGCCCCATGTCAGCTAAAACTGAGACAGGAAAGTGAAGTCCAGAATTTCCCATGAGTAATGTTCCTGGTTGCTGAAGGAGATGCCCTGGGAGACTGCAGGCACCCTGTCAGCTGTGACCTCAGGGTGAGTGGTCTGAAAACCTGGGGAATCTTGCTCTACTACCTGGGGGCAAGTGTCACACACATCAAGCCTGAAGAAAGCTTTAAAAAAAAACAACTTTCACTGTCAGTAGGTTAACACAAAAGACCAATGTTTGTTTGAGGGGCAATTCCTCTGATTTTGGATGCAACCTGTGACTGAGAAGTAGCTCTGAGCCTGACAAAGGATACAGCTGCAAAAAAACACACCCAACACTTGCGAGGGGGTAGGAGCGGAGAGGGAGGGGGCAGGGGGAAGGGGGGAGAAATGACCCAAACATTGTATGCATATATGAATAAAAGAAAAAAAAAACACTTGAATTTCCAGGGGGGAAGGATGAACTGTGGGAATATTTATTTTCATAATTACTCGTTTCACACTTGGCTTTGAGAGTCTTGGAAGGGGAGGAAAAGTGAAAGAATGTAGAAAACAAAATGCTTCACTAAGACCAGAATCAGGAAACAAAAGTTTTCAGTAAACAGGAGATAGCAAAGATAAAGAAAGGACAGAAGAATCGGGAAGTTAAGAAAGGTAGAAAAGGAGAAAGACTTGTGAAAATTGGGAAGTCAGCTCTTAAGACAGAGAAGTCACTTGATGAAGAACAGCCGATAATGAGTACAGATAAAATAAGACTACTACTTCCATTTCTTCAAAGAAAAAAAAATCTATGCTCTGGGAAACTCTAGAACAGATGGCACAGTTCAGAGCAGAGACTGCCAGTGGCTGGACCCACTGACTGCATCCCCTGTGACTCCAGCTGACCAGGGACCTTGCTAGCCTGAGGGAAGCAACTCCCCCTACACACACCAGCCCCTATCTCATCAACCTTACCATACATCTCATCCTTCATGAAATAACCTTGGGCTATAATGGGTTAATTCGTTAACTGAATCTATTCTAATTTGCTAATTGACTCATAAGTCACCTATTTGAGAAAATTATACACTGATAGCTATTTCTTGGCTGTTTGACAACTATTGAGCCATTTAATATCTCTGGGCTTCTCTTTCCTTACCTTAATTAAAATAAAGGTGTGAACTTAATATCAAAGGAAGGGGAGATATTTGAGTTGGGCCTGGGAGTGAAAATAGAAGAGGAGGGCTCTGGGGTACCATTTATTTGGCAATGTAGGAGAGAAGGAAGAGGCTAAAGGAAATGAATGTAGTGACAAAATTGCCCGATAGAAGTTAAATTGAGCATAATTATTGCTGCAATCTCAAGGGGTAAGGAAGAGCCAGGCAAAATGTCCCTGAGGGGTTTGGACTTCCTATTATGTTTATTAATCATCTTGATGAAAACAGAAAGTCTGCATTGATTAAATTCACTAATGAGCCTAAACTGAGCAGGGGAGTAAATTCCAGAAAGGACAGATTTATAAGGTAAGTACTAATATTAATCAGCTCGTCTTCATGAAATGGGTGGCAGTAAATGAGATGAGATTTGCCATAGTTGATGGCAATGAGGTACACCTGGGAGGAAACTGCAACCATGGTCAGATCCACACAAGCAAGCTGTGATCCAGGAAATAATGGCAGAGAGCTCTAATGCAAAGAGCGAATAAAAAATGAAAAACAAGCTTAAAATAAGCTCTCAGAATGGATCACAATTTCACTCTTGGGTGAATGTAAGGGGTGATACAGAGTAGAAGAATGTGAATGGCAGCTGGAGGCAACCATGAGGGTGTGGTGACATTTACAGGTGAGGAAACAGATGCCCAGAAAAGTTAGATGTGGTAGGTTAGGACAGGGCTGCAAAATCCTGGCATCTGTGGTGGCAGGAGAGCATCCTCCTCTGACAACCTAAATTTAACCTCAGAATCCTTCTCAACTCTTTGTAAGTGGTCTCTGAAAAGTTGGCTCAGGAAATATGTTTTTTTGCTCTAACTTGAGTCACAGAAGTAAACATTACCAAGCCAGGTGCAGTGACACACATCTGTAATCCTAGCTACTCAAGAGGTAGAGACAGGAGGATCTCTGTTCAAGGCCCACCTAGACAAACAGTTTTTGAGACCCCATTTTAACCAATAAAAGATGGACATGATAGAATGGACCTGTCACCCCAGCTTCCTGGGAAGTACAAATAGGAGGCTCATAGTCCAGACCAGTCCGGGGGAAAAAAAGTGAGACCCTATTAGAAAAATAAAAAAAACAAAAAAATCTGGTGGCATGATTCAAATGGTAGAGCACCTGCCTAGCAAGCACAAGGCCCTGGATTCAAACCCTGAACTCAATACTGCCAAAAAATTTTAAAACAAAAAATAAGAAGTAGACATTGACAGAGCCAATGAGTAAAACCTGGATCTCTTGATTTATCTTATGATTGTCTCTTAACTCTCTACAGTCAACATTTGACTATGGCTTCAGATCTGAAGCACTCACAACACACAAGTGGTTTCTTAGCCAGAATTCAACCTTGGTGTCCACCATGTTGGTTTGAGGTCCCTTGGGCAGCACTTAAAAATCTCTGAAGCTGTAGTCATGTTGGAAAAATAGTTATAAATATCAATGAGCCAATGAGTTTTGTGCTCTTGGGGAATAACATAAAGCATTTTTAGAAAGGAATCCACTGAGCACAAGTATAAAAATTATGCATCTAGTGCGGGACATTGTTAAAAATTCCCAGAGGCTGATTAATGCTACTTCTATTTGTTTCCCTCTTGGGGTACAGAGTGAATTTTATCTGTGCAAATGAAGCAGGGTGAAGGAAGTCCTGTGTGGGCTGGGTCAGTTAAATTAGGTTGCATGTCGAACTGGAGAGGCGGAAGGAAGGGAAGGTCAGCCTCAGCAGAATTGTGAAGTAGGTGGATTTGGCTGATTCTCAGTTCCTTTTACCCCCCTTTCAGTTCCCTCTCCACAGGAAGGCTAGTACTGCTTCTCTGAGTCCCTGAGTTTTGTCAGGTCCACTGCATAAGGCTGTGTTAGTTGAGTGTTGCACAACTCTAGGGGGCACCATTCTCCTATGCTTGGGAACTGAGCACATCAACTTGACCTGCCCCCTGCAGACTCACAACATTCATTCCTTGGGCCTTTCTTCCTGTCAGTCTTCCATGGAACTCCACCTGATAGGCTTCAGATCTGACTCATATTACATGGGCTAATGGGCCAGTGCCCAAGAATTTACTGAGATTCACCCAGTATCTTAAATAACTGGATTACTTAACTACAAAATTTCAGCATGTGCTTAAAAGAAATCTCTTTTTGCTGGGTGTAGTTGTGCAGGTCTATAATCCCAGTTACTTTGGAAGCAGAGATAGCAGCATCAAAATCCAAGGCTGGTCTGGGCCAGCCACAAGTCTTGTGTTTTTACAAGACTGTCTGAAAAAAAACTAAAGCAAAAGGACTCGTGGAATGGCTCAAGTGGTAGAGCGCCAGCCTAGCAAGCCTGAGGCCCTGAGTTCAAACTCCAGTACCATAACCAAAAAGAAAAAAACGAAGAAACAAAAAACTCTCTCCTTAAGTGTACTCTTCAAATGGTCACAGAATCCCCCATAGGATTTATAAGAGGCAACATAACCAGGCATAATCAGAAAGTTGGCTTCCGAGATTGTGTCTGTAAGTCTTGAATTTGTTCAGCATTTTGCAGCTTGCAGGAGCCTACCCTGCCATGGTCAGAGTGCTAAGAGACTGGGTGCTAAATTCAGTTAACCTGGGGCTGAGCGCCATGGCTACCACTTGCTGGCCATGCAGATAGTTAAGCAAATTACCTAACCTTTCCAAACCTATTTCCTCATCTGCAAAATCAGTTTGCTGACACAATTAGCTAAGATACTACAAGATCATTATTCAGCACAGTGCTTGGCAAATAACTACCCATACCTGTGTTTTGCTGCAGTTGTTCTATTTCACAATATCGGGGAGGCAAACAGGTAGTTCCCTCCTTTATCCTGCAAATGTGTCCCTTCATCCAGGGTCTCCATGTAATCACCATTACCCTTCCTCTCTCCCAGTCCCACATAAGATACTGGTTTTACTTGCCAAGCAAACTAGTCAATTTGATCCTAAACAAAAATGGTTGCAGAACCAACACAGGAGCCCAGAAGACATCTGAACCTTTAGATCCTCTGTTACTGCTGGAGGCTCAGGGATGGATCTAGATATCATGGACCCTGAAGATTATTAAATTTTTGCATCAGCTTCAAGAAAGGAAACAACAGTATGAATTCAGAATTTGTTTCTATAATGGCAAAATTATTGAGATGGAGAACAGATTACTGGTTTCTAGGAGTTAGGGATGGAGGAGGGAGAGACAGATAGAGTTTATAAAAGGGCAGCTGGTGGGTTCCTTGTGGTGATGGCCACTGTGCATTTGACAAAGATAATGGATACAGGAGGTTACATATGTTCTACAACTCCATAGGACTAAACATGCAAATAAGTATATATAAAATTGATAGACTGAAAAATATTGGTAGATTTTGAATACTAGATTTCTGGTTATAACATTGTACTTTAGTTTTAAAAGATGTTACCCTTGGGGGAAACTAGGTGAAAGGAAAAGGTGATCTCTCTTTTTGTTAAAACATCTTGTGAATCTACAATTATCTCAACATAAAAAGTTTAACCTAAAAATTTGGACTGAGGTAGAAACAGGAAAATGTGGGAATTACGAGCAAAACAAAACAAAAGCTAGGACAAAGCCTGGGAAGGACATGTGCTAATGAGAAGATGGGACCCTTGAGTTTCATGACTTCTTAGAAAACCTGCCTGTGGTTGAAAGGCAGTAGACTGTGGGAGAAGGATATGAGAGATTCAGAAGCATTTCAGGGCCCATGAGTGAAACACGTGTACTTTCCAGGATCGCCTGCTCTCCCTGTGACGGACTCACCAACATAAATAGGTTGACTCCATTCACTCCATAGCCCGTTTTCTCTGCATCCAAAGTTCACTGCTGCTTTCACTTGAATGGAATAGTTAGAAACATCATCAATCGTTGAGATGAATTTATTGGTTGACACCTTTTCCACCTAAATGAGAAAGAATTAGCGTTATAATAATCTCTAGGCATATAAATTATTATGCCAATTACCAATTTGAGATGTCATATGTAGGTAATATGACTCACTGTTCAGCAGTTAATTTAAAATCAATAGGACATGTTAACTAATTTATTCCAGACTCCATCAAAGTGATGTGTTGGCATTTACCCTTCAGGGGAAAACTATCTTGTAACTAAAATATGTAAAATGGTCATTGTGAAGTCTAGGTGATACAATCTGAGCTCAATTGATGTTTCAGATTGGAAAACTGAAGTAGCCTCTACCAGCATGCATAATCCCTGTCACTTTGTCCCTCCATTCTCTGAAGTGACATTACTAAACCGTATCACAGTTTCCATGGTATTCAGCCCACCCCATGATCACTGCTTATGCCCATTTTTGCTCTCATTTTCTTTTTTCCTTCCTTCCCTCCCTCTTTTCTTCCTTTTTCCTTGTTCCTTTCTTCGTTTCTTTGAGACAGTATCTCTCTTTGTAGCTCAGACTTCAAACATGCAATTTTCCTGTCTCAGTCTCCTGAGTGCTGAGATTATAGGCATATGCCACCATGATAGGCTTCTGTTGTCTTTTTCTTGGATTATTTTAGTAGCCATTAACATATATCCCTTTGTTCACGTGATCTCTTCATACTCACCTAAAGCTTTGACTCTGCTACCAAAATTATCTTCCTATTCTGTAAATAAGGTCCTCCATCATGCAAAACCTTTCAGTGCTTTCCATTGCCCATAATTATGATTTAAAATGAGAAGCTATTTATTTTTTTAACAAACTCTTACAAAGCCACTCTGGGAGAAATGCCAGTGTGAGAAAATAGAGTTATAATTCCAGAGTTGGCCTTATGTCTAGGTTAATTGAATTACTGCCTCTTAGCTGAAGGAACCATGCTATCTCAGGCCTTTGACTTCCTCCTTTTCCTTCCACCCCTGCTAGGCAAAGTGTGGTTGATGGACAGGTATTGATTAGGAGCTGTGTATTATTGGTCTGCAGTAAGATAAATACATATATTGACACTACAGTTTAGAAAGTTTGAGAGACATTTGACATTGTTGTGACATCCTAGCCCATGATCAGTGGGCTTGTATTTTACATTTGTGGCTATTTGTTTTTCTACCAAATCATTATTTTTACTATATTTTACAAAAGCACCAACCTGTAATGAATTAAAAACTTATAGAGAAAACCAGTCCTTTACTGTAGGTATTTTGGGAAGCACAGGCTAAGAAATTGTTCTCCTTTTCTCTCACTAGTTTCTATTTATCCTTCTAGGTTCTATTCAGTTCCTCTCTGTGGAGCCACCAGAAGGTCAGTTTTCCTGCTCCCTCCTTTGTAACTCTACTGGCCTTTGCTATGATAGGGTAACCCTAAGACTGTCCACCATAGTGCCCTCCCATTGCATAAACAAGGTCTTATTTCCTCATATGTCTCCTACCAAGGAGCTAATTTGTAAATATTTGTGAAATCAAATTGAATTTTCTTTGCTTATCAGCAAGACATGAGTTTGAATCCTAACTTCTCTATTTTTTCTCTACCTTTGTGACTATAAGCAAGTTATATCATCCCTTTTGCCTTAGTTTCCTGAAAATGGGAAAGATAATTATAAAATAGAATATGGGATAAATGAACATAACAAAGCTTGACATGTATAATTTAAAATATACCATTTGTACCATTTCTAGGTGTACAGGTCAGTAGTGTTAAATCTAGTCACATTGTGTTACAACCAGCCTTCAGTATGTTTTTCATTTGTAAAACTGATATTCTGGGTTAGGAGTGTAGCTCAATGGCACAACTTAGTACTTGAGACACCCTGGGTTCAATCTTCACCACCAAACAAACATGCAAGCAACAAAAAAATCCTGAAACTGGATCCATTAAACAATAACACATTATTGTCCTCACATTCCCTGGTAACTATCATTCTAGTTTCTATTTCTTGAGTTTGACGATTCTAAGTACCTCATAAAAGTAGAATCATAGAATATTTGTCTTTTGTGACTGACTTATTTGACTTAACATGGTATCTTCAGAGTTCACCCATGTTGTGGCCTGTGTCAGAATGATCTTTTAAAGGCTAATATCACATTTATGTCTACGTCACATTTTGTTCTTCTGTTCATCTGTTTATCTATTCATCAATAGACACTGAGTCCTTCCAGCTTTGAGCTGTTGTGAATGATGCTATCAAGGGTGACTAAACATCTCTTAGAGACCCTGTTTTGAATATTCTGGTAGATATACCTACAAGAGCAATTGTTAGCTCATTTGTTAATTCTATTTGTAATTTTTTTTGAAAACTTGCCTTCCTGTTTTCCATAACAATTACATAATTTTATTTTTTAACCAAAACTAGGATGAATGAGTTTTCATCTAAACCTTTCTATTATTTCTACCAGAAGTATGTCATTTCAAAATGAAAGGCCTATAAGATTTGCCTTACTTCTGTAATAGCTGGAGTAGATCAAACTTAATTTTGACTTTATTAGTATTTAATTATACCCAGAGCAACCACCTGGAGATAATTTTTAAAAGTTTTCCAAATGGTTATCTATCATCAAATATTTAAATGATCAGAAGAATTACCTGAAAATAACCATTCATTGCATTGTAAATTTTCACTTCATAATCAAAGCACTGGGTTGGAAAGGGAGAAACTGGTTTCTCCCAATGGATATATAGACGAGTTCCTTCTAGCTCAGCTGTGACATTCATTGGAGGATTTGCTTGATCTAGGTTAGAGAATGAGAGGTTAGTGACATTTCTTTAGAATCAGTTATTGGGGCTGATAGCTCCAATCTGCCCACACTTCTCAAGGCATTTTTGAGATCTGCTCCTCTCAAGATTTACAATCAGGTCTTAATCAACTGATCAACAAGCCACAGGAAGCTGGTGGCTTCCTTTGGACTCTTATACTGTAGTGTTTAAGAGGAGACCCCTCTTGTAAAGTACAGAGATTACTATTCCAAGCGGAAGTGATCGGTTGAATGCATTCCCTGCCTTTATTGCAAGACTCACTCCATCATCTCTACTTAGACCAAGCTAGGATGAACTTGACCATGGACAGAATATTACCTGAACTTACCATTTGCCAGTAGGTGGACAAATCATTCCCCTTTTCTGAGCCTCAGGGATTTAAAAAATTATTTTTCCTAGCACATATTAACTGTACAAGGTGAGAAAAATTCTTGTGATATTTCCATACATGCATGTGATGTCTGGCTTTATTTGGTTTGGTTTGGTTTGTGGGGCAGAGTGGGAAGTTTCAGCTTTCTTGTGCATAAAAAGGATGGATTGAGCTACACTTGTGTTTACTTATATCTGTAAAGTTCTTCCTCCTTAGAAGTTATTTGGTGTCTTAAGGCCACATAAGGGGAGTGGAAATTATTTCTAAGTAAGGGTCCTAGATTATGTGACTTTAATCTCATAATGAATGAATTCTAGGGACAAGCTAAGAATGAGACCACTTCAGAGTCAGTCATTCTCTATGAAGAAAAATATCAATCAAGAAAGTACTTATTTCTTTTAGTAATCCTAGGAATTGGCTGCAATAAAATGTAAATCATAAAACAGAATAAATTCCTGTAGTCTGCTCCAGGTCAAATCCATTTTTACATTACCATTGTTTCCTGGGTCTCCTCAGCATCTTTTATTGCCTATTTTCATGAAAGTGACAGTTTTAGGTTGCCTAAGAAATACACTATTGAGGAGAATTGCATAACCTCTTTAGTAAGGGCTATGATTCTTTAAACAAAGTTATACACCATTTGATGTAAATATGTCACAAGCCAAATCATGCCCTTTAAATAATAGTTTAGTGTATTTATTGAACACTTCTTCCAGGCATCATTCTAAGCACTTAATTCTCACAAAAACCTCTCAGGGAGTATTCACTCATCCTTGTTTTTTCATGTAAGAAGACTGAGGCACAGAGGAATGGCCAGGTTATCAAAGGCCACTTAGGTAGCCAGTAGAATAGCACAGACCCAAGCCCAGACATCTTGGTTCCACAGCCCACAAAGGAACTACTGGGTGCTAATGACTGGTAATGCTCTGTGGAAGGCTCTGGATGCATTTCATTAATACAACCTTGAATAATATCTTCAGAGCTGAGAACTGATTGAACTCAAGAACTTTTAGAGAAAATGTGGTATTTATACATAGTGGAATTTTATGCAGCCATGAAGAAGAATGAAATCTTATCATTTGCAAGTAAATGGATGGAACTGGAGAACATCATTCTGAGTGAGGTTAGCTGGCCCAAAAGACGAAAAATCATATGTTCTCCCTCATATGCGGACATTAGATCAAGGGCAAACACAACAAGGGGATTGGACTTTGATCACATGATAAAGCGAGAGCACACAAGGGAGGTATGAAGATAGGTAAGACACCCAAAAAACTAGATAGCATTTGTTGTCCTCAATGCAGAGAAACTAATGCAGATACTTTAAAGTGACTGAGGTCAATAGGAGAAAGGGACCAGGAACTAGAGAAAAGGTTAGTTCGAGAATTAATTTAGAAGGTAACACACACGCACAGGAAAGCAATTCAAGTCAACTCCCTGTATAGTTATTCTTATCTCAACTAGCAAAAGCCCTTGGTCCTTCCTATTATTGCTTATACTCTCTCTTCACCAAAATTAGAGAAAAGGGCAAAATAGTTTCTGCTGGGTATTGAGGGGGTGGGGAGGAGATGGAGGGGGCAAGGGGTTAAGGGAGGGGGTGGGGGAAGGGGGGAGAAATGACCCAAACATTGTATGCACATATAAGTAAAAGAAAAAATTTTTTAAAAATTAAATTAAAAAATGTTAAAAGGAGAACATTTAGAGATGGGCCAGAATGGCTAGTGGTTCTAAAAGGAATTCATGAGGACTGTGTGCATGAGAGAGACAGAGAGATTGAAAGCCTGCCTTTGGACAGCTAAGTGGCCACCTTGTGGGGAAAAGGCTCAGAATATTCTAGGTGGAAATAATCTACCCGCCACAGACCCCATGGGAAGAAATTTCAGAAAACCAGTCAGAGATTGGTGAGAGATGAAATAGGTTCTTTTAAGCAGTGAGTTCCTTTTTCCTGGTTCAGTCATTCTCAACTTGGGGAAATTTTGCCTTCAAAGAAACATTTGACAGTGTGAGACATGTTTTGCTCACAATTTGGGGTAAGGAGTGGAGAGGATGTTATGACTGGCATCTCATGGGTGGTGGCTTAGATATGCTGCTAAACACCCTTCCATGTCCAGGACAGTCCCCTGTAACACTGGGCTATTCAACCAAAAGCTTCAGTAGGGCTGAAGTTGAGAAATCTGTCCCACTGGCCTTCTACCCTGGGTTGGATGGTTAGGTTACAGCACCAGAAAAGTGGTCACTTCTCTTCCAATGCCGAGAATCTATGACTCGGTAATTTCAGAGTGGGAATAAGTTTGTCTTACCAATGGTATAGGGAACAAACAGCTGATCGTAGGGCTGGATTGCAGCATGCTTGCTTGAACCATTAATATGCACTACAAGCCACTCGTGTCCTTTGCTCTTGATAAAAGTCCTAGGAAACCAGCACGCTGTATTTCTGTTCAGTGCATCTTTGCTGTATGCTTGGCATTCTTCGGTCTGAGAGCCATATCTAAATTGGAACACTCATGAGTTTTATAAGGCTAGAGGAAGCTACTCATTTGCATAAGTAAAAATAGATACTAACCTATAGTAGAGGAAATACTGAGTATCCTCAGGGGCATCCTTGCCAGCAAGCCAGGTGCAGCGAAGAGAAACTTGGTATAGCCTTAAGTGTGTGTAATTATCTATCGCAGTGTTTGTGGTACAAGTTAAATTCACAATTGAGGTTCCTGGAGACCCTAGGTAGTTGAAAATGAAAAGAGCAAAACATTGCTATGATAGCTTCTGAATGTTGTACTTGTGTTGAGACTGTAGTGATTGTGACTGTCTCATCTATCACCAAAAAGCAACCACTATCACCTATTTATAGAAACCAATTTGCAAAGGGCCAACTCAGTGTAGGGAAAAAACTACAATTAGAAAGTCCCAGGTTCTGACATCAAAGAGCTTGGTTGAGGTGTGGATGTTATGCTTGTGAGGTACACACAGGAAAGTTGAAGTGCAGTATCACACACTGTCTTTCAGAAACTGGTGTCCAGCAACCTTTGTATCTAGTACCACATTTATCAATAACTAGCTGTGAAACATGGACCCATACTACTTCTGAATCTCAGTTTTTCCAACTGCATACGAGAGGGTTGGCCAAGGAAGGTCACCAGTGCCCCTTTCCATCTCAAATTGTATGAGTCATTCATTCACATCCATGTTTCATGAATTGTATAGATTGCTGTGCCAAAGAAAATGAGTTTTGACAGTCCTGCAAAATAGTACCAGGACTTTGGAGACTCAGTATGCATTAGCTTGTTAAAGTCCCTTCTAATATACTAGGACCCAAAGGAAACCTTGAGATTATAAATGAAACCCCTTTATATTTTTTTCAGCCAGGATTTCTTGAAGTTATATGAGTGGAAAGACTTCTTTCATTTCAGGCCCTCTTGTCACCATGCTAACTGCTTACTCTTCAGAACTCTGTGAGAAAGCCTGGCCTTGCTCTGGTTGCTTGGAAAAGGCAAGAAAATATTTAGGGCTGGGATGAAGGAGGACCCACCAAACTGGGGGCTCTGGGGAATGGGAGAAGTATTTTTAGGTTAGTTTAAGTAAGCTGTAGATTTTTTATTACTGTCCCTAGTGTCCTTAAGGAGACAGAGGGAGTGGAGGAGATTCCCATTATCTGTAGAGAAGTTAAAGTCAGAAAGACTGACTAAAATCAGTTTGCTTTGTAATACACATATTGCATCCAGTTAAATATCATCCCTCTGTGTCTGGACTTGCCCCCACCATAGTAAAATGTTCAGATGCTCAAGTCTCTTATAGAAAATGATGTCATATTTCACAAGATCTATGCTCATCTCCTATACTGTAAATCATCTCCAGATTAGAACACCTAATACAATGTAAATTCTGTGTAAATAACTATTCTGTATCATTTAGGGAATGATGACAGGAAAAATGTCTGATCTTGCTCAGTACAGACACAATATTTTTGTTTTAGAATATTTTTGATCCAGTTAGTTGAATCCATGTATGTGGAAACCATGGATACAGATGGCAGACTGTGCAAATGTGTGTGTGAGCAAGCCCACATACTAAATATAACCACATAGTCCATGCCCAAGTACCGTTTAGCGTTCCTAAAGTCAACTTATCTCACCGTTCCCATCCAAGGAATTATTTGGATGAGGGCATAAAAGATATGTCATTAGCATTGAACTGTATTGGGTACACAGAATAACTAGAATTTCAGAAAATTAATGTAAAGGAGTCCAGTTATTCATTACACAGAGGTGGAATAATAGTTTAATGTAAAATGATAATGACCCATATTTGTAACCTCTGCCATACCTTGAATTAGTTCCCTTACTCAGTAACAAGCCCATTGTGAATTGGTTGGCACATGGTCAAGGCAATATATTACAAGTAAACAAGATCTTTTCTATTCTCAGTCCTGAAGTACACTTCAGGAAGTACTATGGTTGGAATAAGTGTCCCCAAAAGCCCTTTCATTAAAAGCTTGGTCCCCCAACCCATGATGCTGTTAGGAAGTGGAGGATGCTTTCAGAGTGAGGGTCTTCTGGGAAGTATTCTGGTCTTTGGGTGGTGTCCCCTCCAAGGAGATAGTGTGACCCCACCCTCGTCTTCACATCTCTTTTTCTTCCCTGGCATGAAGTGAGCAGTTTTTCTCTGCCATATTCTTCCCCTATGATCTGCTACCTCACCACCTAGCCCAAAAGCAATGGGACCATTGACTCACATCCCTGAAATAAAAAACAACCCTTTTCTCTTTATAAGTTGATTATCTCCAGTGTTTGTTACAGGGACAAAAAGCTGACTAATACAGGAGGGATGATCTCCTCCTCCAGTGATGTGGACAAGAGAGTGATCTGAAAAATACTCGTGGGCATAGTTGAGCAAGACAACTGTGAGCCAGGGCACTTGTATATCCCAGGGCCTGATGGCGGGCATCTCTTCTCTTCTCCTATTGTGCTTATGTGTGTGAGTCTGTTTTCAACTGTTTACCAGAAGTGCAGGTAGCTCTGTGTACCAGAAATGCTAGCTTTCCCCTTGAAGGCCAATATAGAGGCCATGTGTGTTCTAGCTGGGGTTCAGTGGAATTGGAAGACCTATGAAAACAAGAAATAATCACAGACATGGATAACATCAAAGAATATTCACAGTTACTGATGACTGACTAAAGAGAAGCAAATTGTTATTACTTCCCACTCTGCAAAGTCTAAAATAGAAAACTAGACTTGCAGTGGTCTATTTTACCAGGTGGAGCTTGAAGTTCAGCAGAAACCCAGCTGCTGCTGCTGCTGGTGAGGAAGGAACCATCTCTTGGCAGAATGCTCTGCACACTTGCTGAGAAGCCTTGATGAAGGGGGCTCACATACTTGCTTTCAGTCTTCCTGGTTTCATACTAAAAATTAAACCCATCAGTCACGATATGTAATGGAGAAAAAAGCCTTAAAAGAATGATTTTTAATCAAATATGCCTTTGATTCTACTATTGAAATGACATAAATATATTGAAACATTTACGAAAAACTGAAAACACAAAATTGTCCTGATAACACAGTTCCATAATGATACATAAACACTTTATTCTTCCCACAACAAACTACATAATACAATTAAGGCTCAGGTTCCCTTTGATTCTCATCTCTAGTGCCAGTCTCCTCTCCAAAAGTAATTTCTTGATATGAAATTGTTTAAAATTCTATATTGACTGTGAAATGGTTAATACAAGTCACTTCTCCCTTAGTTTGATTTTATATGCACTTAATATGTAGTAGGTGCTTCAATGCATTGCTGGAGTAAACCTGAAGTTCTGAGAAGTGAAGTGATTGTTCCACAGTAGCAAACACAGGAAGGGGATGATCCTGGCTTTGAACCTGCATTCTCTCTTTACCCTTCCCTCTTACCATTTTTACTAGGCTACTCTCTTCTGTTCCTTTTGCATTTTAGAAGACATATAAAGCCAGTATTTAATCCATTGTACTTAAAAGTTAGTAAATGTCCTTTCTCAGGGGAAAGAATTTCCCCAAAGATAAAATATTCTGTGCTGCTGTTGAATGCATCCCATAAGGATAGTTCACCACTATGCATACTGGTAAAAAGAAGCCTTTAGTAATTGTCTATTTTTTACTGAAAATTTCATTTGATAAAGAAAATGCAGTCAAAATGAATATTTACCCTAAGTAATGATTGCCATTAGGATAAACACTTACTTCTTCTTCTTGTGGGACATTTATTTTCACACGATATTCTATGTTAACGTTCCATTGCTCTTGATGAGGATTTGGGCTCCAACTCAAAAGAACTTGAGCTAAACCAGTAACTTTAATGGTAAAATTGACAGGCGGAAGAAGTAAAACTATAGATTAAAAGAAAAAAGAACATGATGCTTAATTATAGATAAACACACTTAAGAAAATGTCTTTTTGCTTTTGTTTTTTTCTATGATGCTACAGATTGAACCTAGGGTGTGTGCACACTAACAAGTGCTCTACCTATGGACTATGACTCCAGCCCTTAAATTTTTTAAGAATATTTTATTGTATAGTATAATATTTTATTATGGCTATTAGTATACATAATACTGAAATGACTTTGGAAGAAGTTTCTTTCTTTATTTTATTTATTTACTTTTTTTTTTTTTTTTGGTGATATTGGGGTTTGAACTTAGGGCTTCATGTTTGCAAGGCAAGAGCTCCAGCCCTTTTTGCTCTCTTTATTTTGTAGATAGAATCTTGCTTTTTGCCAAGTCTGGCCTGGAAAAATCATTCTCCTATTTTATACTTCCTGCTATTGCTGGAATGACAGGCACATGCCCTACACACAGCTTTTTCCCATTGAGATGGGATCTTAAAAACTTTTTTGCTTGGCCTGGCCTCAAACCTCAATCCTCCTGATCTCAGCCTCCTGCAGCTAGCCTAACAGATGTGAGCCTCCAGTCCCCAGCTTAGAATTGTTTTTAACTCATCTTTGTTAAGTGTTTACCTGCAAATGTACATGTTTTTATTGAAAGATGAACATTTTATGACATCATTATTCATTATAACTGTAGTTTTGAAACTGAGGATCATTATCCATTAATAAACTGTTATTAATTTATTGAATTGTGACTAGTCCTTCATTAGTGTAAATTAATTGTGTAGTATTTCTTAGTAATATGGTAAAAATAGAGAAAATACCAGTGTACATCAAATATAATAACAGCTCTTCATGAATATCCTGATTCCATTGCATGAAGATATCTATGTATTTATACATGGAGTGTTTATATATGAACTGGCTCATTATGTAAAGTGTATTTTGTTTTTATTATGAGTCACAGTCGAAAGAGAAAAATTACA